TTTCAAAGAGTTTGCTTTTATTCAATGTGAGAATGATGAATTTTAAAATCGTTTCACAACTTTCAGAACACTGATTATTTAAATTAAAAAAATGAAAAGGTTCAACATTTAATAATCTAGGAGGGCAATTAATACTCTGGTTTTCCTATTGTACCATTGATCCATAAAATAAGTAGAAATGTTTTTTTAAAGATTTTTATTCTGTTGGTGCTATTATTCCGATCTTGATTAGAGCTTCATGTATAATTAAGGATGATGATTGATTATCATCTGCTGCTAATTCTACTAAATCAAAATCAAATTGAAAGAGTTGATCAGAAGAAGGTCTCGTAAACTATTGATTTATCTTTAATCTATGTTAGTTCTTATCATAATATTGTAGATTTTACAGTTCTATGGGCTTGGTGATAATGAATATTCTAGTGAAGTTCATGAAAATTCTATAAAAGATAAATTTAGTTTGGTATGCTAATTTCTATATGAAATATAATTTTAATTATAATATGTTTGATTATCATCAATCAGTTGATATAAAAGTTGACCTTGAACCTAATGATCATGTTGATAATCAAGAAAATAGAAACTAATCGGGTTAAAATGAACAATCTGGTGAAATGCCCTATGGTTAACAGAATTTAATTATAATTGAATAGACTTTATCCATTCTGATTACATATTGACTAATAATAGTATAAGAAAAATGTTTGAACAATATCCAAATGGTGATATTAATATTTGTTCTCGTATTTATTGTGACCGTCAAACAATGTTATCGGTAGGAGACAGAACAAAAAAAAACAGTTTTTTTTCTTCTTTTTTCATGAATATTTATTAATAAGAGATTGTCTTATCCGAAGTTACTGGTGAAGCCATAGTTAAAATCTATTATTGAAAATGAATGAATGAATGATTGTCAACGAAAACTTCTCGAAATAATCATATGAATGTTGGATATTTTAGTATAGATTTTGCTGATATGTTATTTATGATATTGATTGAAAATATCAGCCCAAGCGGTCAAGATATCAATTTGATAGTTGACGTAATAGGTTTAAAACTGATTTAATGGCTGAAACTAATGGTAGTAGAATAGATAATAAAAAATAAGAAAATAGAAGTTAAACAATAACGAAATAAACGAGAAGATAAGTTGAAGACTAAGAATAATAATAAATTTTTGGAATTTTTCCTAAAAAAAAGTAATAAATTAAGGAGATAGTTTTAAAATGTTTTATGGTGAATAGTTACAATCATGTGAAAGTGGTCGTTTCAATGACTGACGAAGAATTTTAATTTTTTCTCGAGCTTCATGTGCTTCATCTTTTTTTTGTTTAGCTTCATCTTCTTTTTGTTTAGCTTCATCTTTTTTTTGTTTAGCTTCATCTTCTTTTTGTTTGGCTTCGTTTTCAAGACGTTCAATTTCTAAACAAATGCACAATGATATATAATATAGTTAAAATCTCTAATTGAACCTTTTTCTATATATTCTTCTTTCAAATTGTCGAGTTTTTGTTTAAGTTGTTCATTTAATTGTTGTTGATTGGTAACATATATGTTTCCAATTTGTTCTGCCAGTTGATGAACTGTATCGTTATTAGTCATCAGGATCCTTGAAGATAAACTTTTCGTTTATATTTCTGCTTTAAAAAATTCTATTAACTTACTCAATATCTTCTTTTTCTTTTGTATAGCTGTTTAAAAATGGATAAGGCTTGATAATTAGTGGACCGTTCCACAGTTCACTTCTATGAAAAAAAAACACAAGATAGTGTTATTTTGCCAATTAATATAAAATAAAATTTTTCATACTGCAGAAAAATATAACGATGTTGCTCTTGTAAATCAAGTCATTTTTGTTTCAATCGTGAATCTTCAAAGGCAAGAAAGGCAATACCAAACGAGTGATCTGATATATCTAATGGTATTTCAACTTCTTTTACAGTTGTTTCAAATAAAGATTCAAATACATCTTTGAGTTGCTTTGGTTTAATGAATGTTGGTAAGTTGAATATCGTTATTGTATTCTAAATAATGATTATACATAGAAAAATGAAATTTGTTTTTGTTGACGGAGGAGATATATAAGTTTATTGATTTTGCTCCTTCGAATATATCTCGATTAAATTTAATTAATAAGAGAATCACCATTGAAGTATGTCATCATTCTTTACAAGTTTATTTTCTCTTTTTGTTAATAATGATTAAATTTTTTTCACACATTGCGTCACCTTGAAATATCGAAAAATTTATTTCTTTCTCGATCTACTTAAGATGATTAGAGTTCCATAGGATTAACTATGTTGATTACAAATATCATTTTTTTTCTTTAAAACTAATTCAATAATAAGAAATCTTGAAAACACTATGGAAACTTATCAATCAAGTTTTCTCGTGAAAGTATACTAACAGTAGAAACTTGTCTCGTCGAAAATCGATTTATTTCATCTAGAATATCTTGTTTGAGAAGATATAAATATGTAATAGATACTGATTTTCTTCTATAAAAAAATCTATGTCAAAGGCAGAACGTTGACGAAGAGGATCATTGTTTATTCGAGCAACTGTTCAGCTCCACACTGGCAATCTTTTTCAAGGATCATGTTTTTCTTTCTCTTACAAAATCTTTTGAACGAACGATTGAAAAGTTTTTGAGTGAGATGTCTGTTCATTTTTCATCCTCTAGAAATAATTTTTCGACTTATCAAAAATAATTAGTTAAGACCGAAATTTACCGTTCTTTTTCAATATAGGCTTAGAATATTTCTTTTCTTTCCTTCAAAATCAGTCAAATTATCTTGAAGAATTAAAAAAAAAATTTCAAGAGAAACTTTTTCGTACATTTTTGTACTTTTAGTTACAATCGACAACTAAAACTTGAGATCTTTATTTATATATGAACTAGTAGATCCGGATGATATCCAAAAAAATCTTCTATTTCAAATTTATTTTCTGTCCGTTTCATTAAACAAGTTAATTTTTTATCTTGATAAAAATTCATTTTTTAAAAATCGATTTTTCTCTATAAATCATTATGCGTCGAAAGAAGTTCTTAAGATATGTTTCTAGTCACACATTGAGTTAAACCTCCAGCTTAGCTCAATATGAGGTTTTTTCGACAAATATCTACTCTAGAAAACGACAGACTTTGAACACTAGAACTCGTCGAGTTCCATTCGAACTAAGAAGCATGTATCTCCGGATTCGCTTCTAAAAATCTATTCGATCATCATTAAAAAGAATCTTTGAGAATGGTTGAATAAAAATAGGCATCGGATATCTATATCCGTATTTGAAAAGAGCATCGAACCTTTGCTAAACATTAGTTTCAAATGTTGAGAAATGCAATGTCGGTGGATGAGAATAAATAAAAAACTTTCTCAATAGATGAGAGTTTTTTCAATGTTAAATTATAAGTCCTAGAATATTATAAAACAATTATCTTTATTGGATTTTCTTTCCTTTAAAAAGATCTATTAGTTCTACTAAATAACGTCTCTTTTAAACGTTTTCGTTCATTAAAAATCTAGATAGTTTTTCGCGTCCAGAATAAAAGATTATTAAAAAAATTTGTCACTGCTAGAGATCTCTAGGTTAGAAAAACTTTTCAGTGATTAGTCTGTTCTCTACGTGTTCTAAGAGTTAGTCTTAACATACCCTGGAACCTTTTTTCGTAACCTATGTTCTACTCTGTCGTTGAAGAAAGTTTTTCGAAAGTTAATTAAAAATATCTTCAACTGTATGTTGTTTTCCATTCAACTTTATCTAATAGAGTGAAGAGAAAATAATTATTTAGAGTAGAAATAAATTATGGATTTTTCTTTCTTCAAAATGAGTATTCTCTATTAAGGTACATCGATATCTGATCGAACGAGTTTTACTTTAAATAGATCTGATCATGTCAATATATAATAACTGACAAATTTCATTCGATAATGTAACTCAAACGTAGTTCATTTAATTGAATGAGATTTTTACAAATTCCCTAAAACTAAACTCTTATGAAAGGTTATCGCCTTAATCAAACAAATTGATAAGAGTGATATTGTTTTGTTTATCTATCTCATCAATAATCAATAGTCAATAGCTCTCTTCAATATTTCCTACATATGTCAATGAATATTTTCCTTTATCGTACTTTAGAATTGTTCGATGTTCTAAATTTTTCAAGTTTTAGATGGAGATTGTAAAGAGCATATCTAAAAGTATGATATTCTATATTGAGAGAGAGAGAGAGAGAGAGAATAGTCAAATAATATATCATATATTATTTAGAATTAATTCGAATAGAATTATACCTATTGAATTTTATTCACTTCTTATTCATCTTTTAAATGATCAATTCGAAATTTTCCAAACGAAATTTCTATGATGGTTTAATAGTTCATGGATTTATCTATATTGTTCTCCAAAATCTGTCTATATGATCACTTTGTCTTGCAGGACTTTGATCAGGAGAATTAAACTCGCCGGCTTCGTCACTAATTAATGGACAGAAAAAGAATATTAAATATCTAACATATATAAATAGCTGCTCAAAGAAAAATAATATCTAGATTAAAAAAAAATCTATATTTGGGGAAGGTAACTCATATTTTAGTTGACTTGCAAATCTTTCTTATCATCTGAATAATTTTAGAAAAAAAAAATCTTGAGATATTTCTAATCAACATAGGTTAATCGTATCAAACTAGAACGAATCGAATTAGATGACAATGAAATAATTGAGGCTATATTCGGAAGAGATTCAAGAGAAAAATAGTTCAATTGTAATAACATACGAGAAAACAAACTTATCAAATCTGATCATATTTCAATTCTGATTCTCATTAGAATAAAATTATATTCAGATTTATTATCATACGAAATCTCTTATGGAAGACAATTCATGCCAAAGAATACTTACGGATTTATATGACTCCGTTTTATGATGTGCCAATTTTCCAGGCGGAGCGTCTGACCTGAAATTGAGCAAAAAAAAAACGTTTTTATTTCGTCTTATTAATCGAAGATTTATTTTGATCAGATCATTTTAATAATATAAAACAAAGGAATTATTCTTCTACTTACATTGTTAACAATTTATTATATCTAAGGAGTCAATACACACACACACTAGAAAAACACAGATCCATTAAGTTAAACTTGAATTAAATTATGTCATTGGTTAATTGAGAGTTAAATTGCCTCTAAAAGATGATTTAACTCCTAATACACCAATCACATAACTTAATTCAACTTTAACTTAATGGACTTTTTTCTAGTGTGTGTCTTTACTCCTAACAATACCAGAAAACAAAAGAAGAATCGTCACCATTGTTATCATGTTTCTATTGGCTCAATGGGAAAAACTAATGTCAGGAGAATATAGACGGCGTTCATCATCGTAATAAACAACTTTGACGATAGTCCATTCTATCTTTCACTATTTAACATCAGTTTTGATTAACACAACTCGATAGAGTATTTATTTATTCTTCAATTCAACAGATTTTTTTTACCTTTTGAAACAGGCTAGTGCAACGTCCATAGATCTCTTTATCATCTTATATCCTTGTTCGTTAGTCACCATTAAACGATATATTATTGAATAAAAAATCTCCTCTACTATTCATTGAATAGATCATTCTCTCGTTGAGAAATCATTTCTGATAATCAGAATATCTTCTACCTAGTCATTATCCTTCCCAAGCCTCCATTCGACTTTTCAAAATATTTTACTCATATTAACAGATTTCATAGCTAGTTTACTTTCCTAATTCTATGATCATTTCCTGCTCTATTTCATTTTAATTGGAAATCCTCATGTTTTTTTGACTGATATATATAGGAAGACGATTTTATGTAAGATATTTATAATGCATCGTAGATTTGTCAATGTTCTATTATAATGATTTCTATAAGACTATTTCTAGGATATATCTTGACTAAAGAAGAAGAAACCCGATATTGACTATGTAGTTGAGTTAGATATAAATTGAAGAGATTGATTTATATTTTAATTCGAGTTAGACAAATTCTAAGTTCGAACCTGAATTCTAGTGATAACTAATTATATATAATTACCAAGAAAATAAAAATCAGATTAAAACTTTTCTATAGAATCAATATTAAATAAGATGCTCCTTTTTATTTCTGGTCTACTGATTATTGATAATCAGTAAAAATATATTTGAATAAACTTTAAATTTATCTTTGAAATTTAATTCTATTATGAATAAATGAAATTTTTTATTTGTACAAGTTTACCTATTATCCTTAATAAGAGATCATTTATTTTACCTTAAATAAACTCGTTCTCAGAATATTTATTCTTTTTTTTTTTTTTTTTAATTTTTTTTTTAAATCTATTCGTTCCTTATCTTCTATTTGTGTCACTTTCTACCAATAGAGAACATAAAAACTATTCGAATAGAATTAGTACTCATCGAAGTATATATATATATATATCAACCGATTCCATCACTGATATTCTCTCATAATCAACATTCAATCCTGATTATATTCTTCAATAAATATTTTTTTTAAAAATATATTCATTTTCACCTTTTAATTATAAAGGTAAATTTAATTAAAAAAGAAAAACAATATTTAAATTGTTGATTTATTTTAAGTAGGATGTGGCGCACTTTTATTTCATTGGTCGATACTATTCGAAGGGTTGAAACAAAGATAATCTCAATCTCAATGATTCTATCCTAGGTTATAAAACATTTCTTTTTTGACTTGTAAGGTACCAATTAATTGAATATATGTTTTATCTAATAAATAGATCTCCACACTATTATATTCTCATATAAATCGAAATAATTAGGGAAAATATACTTTTGATCATTAAAAAAAGATACAATTGATCACCAGATTTTTTTGTTGCGAAATGATCACCAAAAAAAAAATACATTTGATCACCAAACTAATTAGCGCGCAGTGAGCGACAGCGAGTTACTGTTATGAGTTATGGATAATAGACTTATGACAGATCATATACTTATCGTAAATGTTGATTGATCAATTAAACAAGCTTAAATAAAAAAGGATAATCTTATCCGATCTGACATACATGTAAAAGTCGAATAGTCGTTACGACTATTCATTCGACTTTACGACTATTCAAAAAGTTCGCACGGCATTATTACCATGATTTATTATTAACATTAGCTGATTTTTTTGTGTCAGTTTTATGTGGAATATTTTCGTTAGAGTATGTGATTGCTAGTCATGTGCTATCTACTTATTCATAATGAATTTAGTGATGATTTGTATATTTTTTTGGTGATCAAAAATATTCATACCCAAATAATTATCTCTTCAATTAGATATAAACAAAGTCATCTGAGAGAAAAAAAAAGGAAACTCTTTTCAACATATATATTATTTATTTAATATAATTCTATGAAATCTTCATCACATTGACAACTTTAATATTGAAATGTTGAAAATTGTCGAATACCTTCGGAATTAAATTATTTTCTTCATTCAATTATTCCGAAAATCTTTTTTCATTTATTCATATAGAATATTTTTTAGCGAATCATTCAAACAAATATAATCATCATGTTAACGAACAATCTGATCGAGCATCATCATCACATTGTAATGCTAATTTAATAAAAAATCATTTAAATAAAAGAATATCACCATCAAAAACAACGAATCGAACATAACAGTTAATATATCACTCTAAAAAATCAAGACTTGAGAAGTGTCTAGGCAAGACGGTTCGTGCGCTAATACAAGACACTTCGACTTCATTCTTATTGGCTTAGATATCTTTCGTTGAGACGGTTCAAGTGTCAACGGATGACCGATTCTAGACACTGATGCGTCTTACTCGTATTTCGTTGGGTGTTTTTCACCAATGAAAGGAAGTGTCTTATGTCCATTTTTCAAAGACGTTATAGCCGACTTACTAGCTACTTAACGTGAAAATGAGTGTATTTCAATATAAATAATACGCATTAACAAAATATTTTGAATAAATAATTTTTTTAATTTTTTTTCTTTAAATTTTTTATTCTGTTAAAATTTAACTTTACATGTTTTACAGCAATTTCTTTTTTTTTTACTTTCAATTATTTGTAAAACATGTAAAGTTAAATTTTAACAAAATTAAAAATTTAAAGAAGAAAAATTAAAAAATTATTTATTCAAAATATTTTGTTAATACGTATTATTTATATTGAAATACATTCATTCTCACAATAAGTGACTCGTTAATCGGGTACAACGTCAAAAAAAATTTGAAATTCTAACTTTACGACAGCATAGAAGTTTATTACCATAATATAATCTAGAAATAAAAAGAAACAGTACCACTTTAACTGAAATTATCAATTAGAAAAAAAATAGTATTATTCTTCGAAAATGACATTTATCAAAAATTTATCTTAATAAAAGAAAATAGAAAGAATAAAAAAAAATTATCATCTCGAAAAACCCTTATGCTTGACGACTTGTCTTGATTTAAGAATTCGATAAACGTTATTGATTACGTTGAAGTGAGAAATAAATAAAATGAAATAGCGACAACTAAGTTAAAGAATAAGATGTTTCACTGTGAATGTGTTCAAGTGTCTAACACATAAGACACTTTAGTGTCTATTACTACCAAGTGTCTAAGAACTAAGACGCGTCGCATATCTAAGCTAGACGATAGACGGATGGGATTTTTTAGAATGTATATATCATTAATAATACCATTTATATTGATCGATTTTCTAAATAAAATAAATTTTTTATTTTTTTGTCGGAAGTAATAAATCTATATGAATATATATTAAAAAAGTAATCAATTTATATAAAGATTTTCGAATATAAGATTATTTTGATATATTTTAGTAAGACTGTATTAAAGCGACATCTTTTTATATATTTTATCGAAATAAAATCAATAAATATAATAAGAAAAAAATGATAAAAAAAAAAAACACGAAATAAAGATCTCGAAGGAAAAAAATCTTATAAATAATCGAATGAATAATTAATCTATTATGTTTGGTGATTCAAATCCTGCGAATAAATATATATTTATATATATTTAGATAATAATTGAGTTGATTTAATTTAAATAAAAGTGAAATGTATATATATATTGTTCGTCATGGTGAAAGTACATATAATGCTAATCCATTAGATGATACAATTGATTGTCCATTAACATCAAATGGAATTGAACAATCAATTAAATTAAATTCTTCATCATATCCTAATTATTATTCTTTAATTGTTAGTTCACCTTTACGTCGTTGTCTTGATACAATTAAATTATCAAATATAAGTTGTGATCATTTTGAAATAAATAATTTATTTCGAGAAATTTATGGAGGTTGTAAATCAGATCTTTTATATGATAATGAAACAATTTCAATTGAAGATGATCAACAAATAAAACAAAGAATTCAATTGATAAATTATTATTTATTAGAAAAAAAACAATCAAATATTTCAAATATATTAATAGTAACACATGCAGATTTAATTTGGAATTTAACTTCTTATCAGATAAATGGAGAAACTTTTGGAACTTGGTTAAATAATGCAGAAATTTTTCATTGGAAACAAATTTGATATTCAATTTTCATTTTTGTGAGTTTTTTTTTTATTTCAATTTATATTATTTATATTAGATTTCGAACACTTTTATACAAATAATTAAATATTTATTTTTTTTTGTTAAGAATATTTTACGTAAGCGAACAACAAGTCAGTTTAATGAGTATATATAACAATCGACTTTCTTCATCTTTTATTCTAACCTAGGAGTTTTATCAGAGTTATTATCGATTTCTATATATATAAAGAGATGAAAATGTTGCTAACTATCTATTGATTTCATATGATCTGTTGAGAGAATTTTAAAAGATTAGTTTTATTTGACGCGATTAGATTATCTTATTCTATGATTAATATATCAATAATATTTTTTATATATAAACAAATCTATTTAGGAATAGATATTTTAATGAAACGTATTTAGAAATATTTAAGGTTAATTATTCGTCGAACAAAAAACAACATTGAAAAATCTCGTTAGATAATTAATAAATTTAGTCACGATGAGTATCATCTATATAATATATAAAAACAATATTCAATAAGATCAAATCAATAGAGATTTATCGTCTATTCCATTGTTGCCTAATTAACAATACTATTCTATAAACTAAACCAAATCATATAAGTTAATTAATTAATTAATGGTTAATGAGAATGATTGTATCTAACGTTAAACTATTTTAATGAAAAAAAAAACACAAGATATATCTGTTTGTTAAATGTTTTCTAGGAAAAGACAATTCTAATTGAATAAATAAACAATTGAAGGAGTATTTTATCGAATATTTAACATAAATAAATAGTCTTGTTATCGATTAATTATTTATTAATTAAAGTAAATATTCCTGGTAGAAATGTTTAATTAATAAATCTATAAAATATTTGTTTGGTAAAATGAATATTATGTTTTAAAAAATTGTTTTATTATAGAAATATTTATGAAAATGTTAATTTTAAAAAAAATTATTTAAAATAAATCTTATCTTTTAATGATAAGATTTATTTGAAAATTCTGTTTAATTGTTGTTATATTTTATAGAATATTATTTAATGAAAAAATCTTATTTATTCGAAATATAAGATTTCAAATAGATTTGGTTTTAATTTAATAAATTATAAATAATCTCTTTAATTCAATATAAATAAATCTTTTGATTTTTCGTATCTTTAAAAAATAAAATCGTTTATCTTTTTTTTTTTCTTTTATTATATTTAGATAAATATTTATTATTTTAAATCTCAAAGAAATTCTCATTCAATTGAAATATTTTTAAACAATAAAGAAAAAGAAGAAGAAGAATTTTATTTTCAATAAATATTATTTAGTCAACATTTTATATAATTAGCAAATTTTATTTTTGACATATTATTTATTCAAAAAAAAAACAGACGATTTATTATTAAACAATGATCGAATCGGATATATAAATATAATAACAATCGATAAATAAAGTTCTTATCCTTATTTAATTAATAAAATAAATATTCTGTCAGGAAGTTAAATATAATAGTCAATAGAGAAATAATTTATTTGTTAATCAATTAAAATCGATCTCAATGTATATCATTTCGATAAAATCTCAATTATAGATGGTGATAAGAAGAATATCGAGAGAAATTGTGTCTTTCTATGATAGTATCGAACTAGTATGATTAATTTATACTCAATTTAAATTTCTCAACCAATTTAAATTGATAAAATAAATAATGAATATATCCTAACATATGATAAAAAGTGATAAAATATAATATTTCAATTTAGATTAGAATTTAATATAAATCATAGAAGTTTAATCGATTTATAATTGAGTTATTATCCTATTTCTAGTTGAGTTATATTCATTTTTAAATTGAATAAAAGATAATAAAAACCGGTCTAATCAATAAATCTAAAGATGAGGAAAATATTTGTTTAAATATAATAGATGAGGTTAGGTGAGTTGAGGTCGGTGTGACGTTGCCCTCTGAGAGTCTCTATTATGTCAATTGTATATATATATTCCTTCATATTGGCCAATCATTATATTATTTATTTATTTATTCTTTTATCTATACGTTTTATCCATTGTTTTTATCTTTATTATATTTACAAAGTTAAATAAAGATTAGTTTTCGACTTTAGAATTTGTTAGTTAAAATCGATTTTAAAATTGTCAAAAAGAATTTTTGTTTTGTTTTATAAAAAATGTTAAAATGAGTAATAAAGAGAAGAGTAGATAAGCTTTTCTATTCTAGATAAACAGGTTAAAACTCGACTATCGAATAAAATTTAAAAAATGAATGATTCTTTTATTAACTTAAATAAAAATTTTTTCAATTTCTGATTAAATTCTTCTTTATATTAAAATAATATTCGATTAGAATAATTAATAGGTTTATTTATGATAATCATAATTATATTAAGATTTGTTTTCGTTTAAAAATTCTTCTATTTATTAGTTAACTTTATTCTTAAAAAGTCAATTGGATTTTATAGAATAAAATTCGATATAGAAATTTAATAAAATCTTCTTATGTCTTTTTTTTTATTTTTTATTTTAGGTAACAAAGATCGAACACAAGTGTTTTTCTAACGTTATATCGATTTTATTTTAAATTAAAATAAATATTTATATTTAAATAAATAAAATCTAATTAATCTATTCTATCTTTCCTCGTTTTTTTTTTCTTCTCTCCTTCTATAATTAAGTTTAACCTTAATATTCGAACTCTATTAGCATGAAAAAAAAAACACATACACATAAGATATACTTTATGGAACGAAAGAAAAAAACATTATATTATTTACTTTCCTCCAAAGAATTGATTATTGAAGGGTTCTCTATTCTTTTTCGTCGTTTCGTTATATTTATATAATATTGAAAAAAAAAGCGAGTGCGCATGACATCATTTAATATAAAGAATTCTCTTATTGAAAGATTAGCAAAGCAGAGTTATTTATCTGATAATGATCGACCAGATTCAGAAGAACGATCAAGACGATCAACTATTGCAGCTTATCCTTGGGTGAGATTTTCATTTTTTAAATTAAAATTAAAAATAGAAAGGTTATTCAATTGTCAAGTATTTTTTTGTTAATATATATTTATTTATTTATTTCTATTTATCTATCTATAGATGAATAAATTCAAGCCATTTATATATGGAGCGAAGTAAGTTAAGATTTGAAATAATCAATTTCTATATAAGAATAGATTTATTTATATTAGAGTTTGTTAAAATAAAAATAATATTATTTATTATCTTTATTTATATTTTTGTTTTATTTCTATTTAATAAAATTTTTTTTTAAATATCGAAATGAGTGTAAATAAAACGTGATAAATTTCTATTCGAAATATCTAATAGATTTTAAAAAATCGATTTCAATAGAAATAAAAATAACTCGATCGATTTAACATATATTATAGGAAGAGAAGAATATTTATTCAAATAAATAAATAACACTTTGCATTTATTCATTATTTATTCATTCGAATTTTGAAAAAAACAAAAAAACAAACTCTTTTAGAAATAAATAAATAAAATCGTTATATTAATATAATAAATCATTTGAATAGTTAGAAAAATATTGATAAAAATAAAATTTAATTTAATTAAGTTAACCATTTTCTGCTCTTTTTTTTCTCATTTGAAATATTTCTATAGTTTTATAATGAAATTATTCTCGATTTAAGATAATAATTAAATATAATTATTTTTCATTTTAAAAAAAATCTTATTTTTTGTTTGAATTATATTGAAATAATTAAGAAGAATTTTTCAAAAAAAAGTAAAGATTTTATATTATTTAAATAGATTTAAAGAATAGTTTTCATATTGATTGAATTAAAACAAATTAACTTTGATATTAAATCTTTGTTCTTCTTGCTTTTTCAAAGGTTATTTCAATAGTTAACTATCTTGTTAGATTTAGTAAAATATTCGTTATTTATAATATAAATCGATTTCTAGATAAACTTATATTGATTTATCTTATTATATATAAAGATTGAGAGTTAAGATAATTTATTATTTTAATAATCTATCCTAGATATATTCATCATATTCACCTCAATTATTTTAATACAAATTTATTTCTTTTTAGTCAACAATCGATAACAAATTATTTCTATTTCATTCAATTTGAATTTATTTTATCGAAAATCTATTTTTAACTCTTAGATAGAAACTTTCTATAAGACGAAATAATAATAAAATATTTTCGAATTATCGATTAAAAATAAAAAAAAAAAAAATTTATTCGAATAGGATATTTATCGATATAGTTAAACAAATAAAAGATAAGAATATATAAAATAGATTTTATTTCTATTGATATTATCGATTAAAAACTATTATTTTTATTATATTTATAAATATAGAAATGATGATGTACCTGATTGTTACAATCGAGTTCGTTATATTCGAGATTGTTGTAAAGTATTGTCTGATCTTTCTAAAACAGATAAAGATTTTGTAAGTTAAATAATTTAATTTAATTTAATTTAATTTAAAAAATCAAATGTTTAGTCAAATAAAAGTGTTGATAATGATCTATCAAAATCATTGAAAGAATTTCGTTTGAGTGATGTTGCACGTTGTTATCGTTCTCCATATGGAACAAATGGTGATTTATCGATTTTAAATCAAACAATTGATGATTTAATTCAAATACATGATTTTATTGATTCAAAAAGAAAAGAATGGTTTGAACAATTTAAAAAAATAATTGAACAAGCTAGAGATAAACAAGTATTTATTTATTTCTATATCTATTTATTTATTTATTTATTTATTTATTTCTAAAATAAGTCAACTATTCGTCAAACAATGACTGAACTAAAAGATAATTATGAAAAAGCTCAACGAAAATTAGAAACAGCTGATGCTAATTTAAAAAAGTATTATCTAGATTTGATTAATTTAAATAAAAAATTTTCTCATTGTTTTTTTGTTAAGATTTCAAACACGATCTGATCGTTTAACATTAGCAAATTTTGATGAACGTTTACGTGAATTAGAAGATATTCGTTGTGAATGTGAACAATCTCGAACATTATCACGTGATTTATATGCAACTGAAACATATAAAACAGCAAGTGATGAACATTCAATTACAGTTAAACTTTTTTATCAATATTTATATGAAGAAAATCAATTTTATAATAATATATCTCGATATTTATCATCAAAAATGCCTGATATTGAACAAAGATTAGAAAATGATGAATTAATACCATTATTTGGTTATGATCTTGTAAAACATTGTTCAAAAAGAAAAGATACATTAATTGCTTATCCTATTGAAATATCAATTCGTCTATTAGAAAATTGTTTAAATGAAGAAGGTCTTTTTCGTATTGCACCATCACAAGTTAAACAAAAAAAATTTGTTGCTGAACTTAATTTACAAACAATTGATAGAGGAACAACATTAAATGAACTTAATTATGATCCACATGTTCCTGCAAGTACACTTAAACAATATTTAAGAGAACTTCCAGATTGTTTACTTACAACTGCACTTTTACCACAATGGAATGAGATTATTTCACTCAGGTTAACACTTTTTCTTTTTCTTTTTCTTTTTCTTTTTCTTTTTCTTTTTCTTTTTCTTTTTCTTTTTATTCAACTATCTTAATAAAATTTATTTTTTCTTCAAATTTAAAAAAAAAAGCAAAGATGAGAAAGTTTTGAATTGTTTTAAAGGAAAAAAAAATCTTTTTATTTTCTTAATTTAATTTTCTTTTAAATATTTAAATATAAATCAATATTTGACTATTATATAGATGATGAAACAATTTCATATCTATAATTCTATTAAGATATAGATAAATTTTTTAAAATAATTAATTATTATCAATCTTAAATAGATTTAAAACAAATTATTATAGAATATAGAATATCATCATAAGACAATTTTATTTAATAAATCTCTCCAATTAGAAAGTTTTAAAATAAATAACAAAATTTATTTTATTTTATTTTAGTAGTGAACAAGCTCGTTTACAACGAATTGGTCAATTAATAAATAAATTACCTGAAATAAATTATCAGAATCTTTGGTTTGTAATGTGTTTTTTTTGTCTATTTTGTTAATAAAAAAAATTGTTTTATCTCTTATAGTTATTTGGTTAATTTCTTAGCTCGTGTTGCTGAATATTCATCAGAAAATAAGATGACACCAAGTAATTTAGCTATTTGTATTGGATGTAGTATATTATATGGAAAAGATCAATCATATTCACAAAATCAAACGATTTCAAATTCGTATACAGCTGCTTCAATTATTCTTGAACTAATGATTATTCATCATAAACAATTATTTAATAGTTATTATCAACAAGAACAAACTTCGAAATCATTTAAATCTCAACCTGATATTATTCCAACTGAATTTCATTCCGTATTAACTTTGGATTTTTTTTATTAAATAATTCAATTTTTTCGTGTTGTTTTTTTTTTTTTAGAAAAGTCGAAATGATTCAAATGAAAATTTGTTAGATGTTCAAAATATCTCTGTCTATACTCAACCGTATGTAATTATATTTTAAAAAAAAAGTAAAAAAAAGTGACTAATAAATAAAGTAGATCTCCTGGAACACGTCGAAAAAATAAAGCACCTCGTCCACCTCCATTATCTTCATTTAATCAACAAACATCAGTTGAACAAATAAATTGTGAAAATGTTTCATCTGATTTAAATTCGAATGATCAAACATCAAATGAATGTTTAACAGGTAATTAAATAAGATTTGAAAATGAATAAGAGAATATTGAAAAAATAATTATTATATTAAATAATAATAAAGAATCATCTCCACAATCTAATCAAATCAAGAAATTATGCAAAAGATTTGCAGGAGGTTCTTTCTTTTGTAATGCTCGCTTTTATTTCTATATATAACTATTTGTTAAATCAATATATTATTTGCTTTATTTATTTGTTATGTATTTAAACAATTATTATTTACAAAAACAAAAAAAGTAACCAACTTTGCTCATTCAATCATTAATAAAATATTTTATTTTATTTCAATATAAAACAATCTATTTAATCTTATTATTATATGTTTTTTTATTATTTCAGTGACAAGTTCATTAAGTTTTAGTCCAACTGATAAAACTCATCGACGTACATCAAGTGATGGAGCACAACTAGATCGTCCTGGAGCGCCGCCACCTCTTCCACCATTAAATATTGTTGGTTGTGCACCAATTGTTCAACCTAGACCAAAACATTCCTATCTATTATCAAAGACAAATAATGAACAAAGAATTTCTTCAGGAACAGAAGATAAAACAGTTGAAAATGAAACATCAACGGATTTGTCAACTGATTCAACATCGACAACAAATGATGGTGTTAATGTTGGAAAATTAATTTCACAAATAAATAATCGAATGGCTGCTGGAAAATTACCAAATACTCAAACAAATAATAATCGAAATTCTTCTTTTCGAAATAGCACTTTATCGTCACCTGGAGATACAACTGATTTCTAGTCTTTTATCATCCGGTGATCATTTTATTATCATCAGTGACTTATTTAAACTAATTTCATTAATTATTATCTTTTCTTTTCTTTTCCTTTTTTATTTCATCGATTATCTTATATAAATATAAATCAATACATTTATACTATTCGTAATCAACTCAAACAAAAAATTTAAAATTTTTTTTTTTTTCTTTTCAAATTAAATCTTCAATAAGAATTCTTCTATTAATGATAAAATCTATTCATATGTCAAACAATAATTATAAATAGGTATTATCTTCATTCAACAAATTTTTATTCGGCAATAAAAAAAAAAATCTCTTTAATCTTCTTCTTTTTCATAGATCAATATTTAAATAAAATAATTCACTTTTTTAAAGATTTTTATTTAAATCATTTCGTTTTAGTTATATTAATCTTAAATTAAATTATTAACTATTCTTCATTTCAGAGTTAAATGGATATGGACATTTTTTAAATAACTTTCAAAGAGAAAGAGAGAAGTTATCGGAATTATTCGTTCTATCTTGAGTTGAGATTAATCTGTCTTTTTACAAACTCGATCAAAAATTCTAGTCGCTTTTCTTAATGGATACGCAACGAATTTTGAAGATAAGCTTAATGCACTTTCGAACTTACATACTTTATCAACTATAACATAATTCATAGATAGTACACGTTTCTCTCTATCGATCTGGGTGTGAGGGCGAGGTCGAAAGTGATTTCAATTGAAAATATACAAAGATTTTTCTAAAGGCTACTTACAAAACATTTTTTAAAATCTTAGTAGTTAATAGACATTGCATACTAGAACTTTTTAATGGTCCTTTGTCTTTGTTATACGATTTATTAATCTTTAGAGTTTTTTCCTAGAGAAAGCGTCATTGAAGAGTATTTATTTGATGTTTGGTGTGGGAGTTAAGGAGTGGTGTGGGCATCAATGTGAGCATAGGTCTCTTGTTTTTTTCTTGAATCACTGTCTCAGCCACATATCTTCGGAGAGTAATTGTATCTTGAATCGTATCGAGTTAGTTTGGGCCCATCTGAAAAAATATATATGTGATAAAAAGATCAAGTTTACTTTAACTGAAATGAGAAAACTGGAACAAGAGATGTTTATGGGTCAAATACAATGAAAGCAACCAGTTATATTAGTTACGTCCGACAATATTTATGTTGAAGAAACGGAAGAAGAGCTAAATGATCATAACGATGATGATTATAGTAGTTACATTACAGATAATATCGCGATGATTAATGATTTCTATGATGGATTTATGTGAACATCTTTAAATTCTTTTTGGCTGACCGATTTCGATTCAGGGAATTATTCCAATAAGAACAGCAATAAGATAAAAGTTGAGAAAAACTTTCTCAATATGTTAATTCATTATCATCAGAATAAGTTTAACGTATGGATTTTGATAACATTCTTTAGTAGAAAAAACATGCCGAAGATTAATAAATCATGTAGCAAAGACAAAGGACCATCAAAAACTTCTAGTACGTAATCTGTGTTAATTGCTAAAATTTTCAAAAATGTTTTGTCAGTAGCCTTTAGAAAAACATTTATATATTTTCAATACAAATCATTTTCGATCTGGGCCTCATCTAGATCGATAGAGGAAAACCTAGACTATCTATCCATTATATTATAGTTGAGAAAGTATCTGGCTTCCAAAGTGAATTAAACTTATCTTTAAAACTTCTTATATATTCACTAAGAAAAGCGACTAGAATTTTTCCTCGACTTTGCAAAAAGATAGAGCAATGTCGACTCTAAATAGAATGAAATATTCAGATTATTTTTCTCATTCTCTTTCAAAGTTATTCAAAAAATGTCCACAACCATTTAACTCTGAAATGGACAATAGTGGTAAGAAAATGAGACCTGTTGCTCGATCTGTAACAGATATATTCGATTGTTTTTCGGTTGCATGATTTTTGTTCCATCCTGTATTTATGATAAAAATGACGTATTAGTGAAGAGAGTTATTGGAAAGAATTTTATTTTCCTAAAAGATTGTTTATTATCACATTCGAACCATTAATAGAATCTTATTAATGTTAATAAGAATATATTCGAAAGAAGATTTTAATTATTGATCATGTAGTTTTATTAATTTGTCATAAGAAAAATTCCTGTTGTGTATGCAAAGTTACATTTAATTAATACCTGTATTCGATCTTAATATAAAATAAATAAGAGAAAGAAAAAAAAAACTTTGTATTTGTTCGTTCAGATAACGTTTGTTTTTATCTTGTCTCTGATTTTTCTAGAGGTTTTAAATAAGAACAAGAATAAAATGACGAAATGAGATCATCATCATCATCATCTGTAGCATATCCTATTGGACGTTGCTTTCGCTACGAGACCACGCCATTTCTGCCTGTCTTGGGGATTTTTCCAGGCGGAGAAGAGGCCTGGGTTGAATGAACGCAGGTCGTCTTCGACGGAGCTGATTCATGTGTGACGTGGTCTGCCTCGAGAGCGTTTCCATCTATGTGGTGATCCATTAATGTCTGCTTGTAGTGCTCTGGTGTGGTCGGAGAGGGATTGCCCCTAGTTATATGTCCAAGTTGTCGCAGTCGCCTACTTGTGATAGACGCGCTGATCTCAGGCTGTCCAGTACGTTCCCGGACTTCTTTGTTCGTGATGTGCTTTATGTATGGTATATGAAGAGTTTGTCTAAGACACTAGCTGTTGAAAGCGTCTAATTTCTTCTCGATCGAGTCAGTTATTGTCCAGATCTCTACGCTGTACAGAAGGACTGGTAGTATATAGCAGTTGTAAAGACGGATTTTGGTCTGTAGCGATATGCTTGAGCGCCAGATAGGTTTACCCAATGCCTTCATGCAATTCCGAGCGATTGCAATCCTTCTGGCGATTTCTAGTATGCTGCTATTCGTTTTGTGAATCGTACAACTTAGATAGACGAATGAGTCGACCACTTCCACATTTTGGTCAAGTATAGATAGTGCGTTGTTGTTAGTCAGTTTGGTTCCGGTTTCTTGAATTTTTGCCTTTGACCAGTTGATTTCTAAGCCCAGCGGAAGAGCTTCATGCTGCATGACCTCCAATACCAACAGAAGTACTTCTACAGTCTCAGCTAGAACTGCCACGTTGTCCGCAAAGTCCAAATCGGTGAATACTTCGTTATCCAGTGTAGCGCCGAGCAGCTCTCGGCGTATCGTTCGTTGGAGTAGCCAGGTCATTTGTGCCAGAAACAAATCCGAGGCAATTGTGTACCATTGGCGAACATCGCTTTTGACTTCGAACTAATCGGATAGTTGGCCATCGACTCGAACGCAGTTGAATGTGTTAGAATACAATTCCCTCATTAGGTCGACAATTTTCTTGGGAACGCCGAGACTTGTCAGTATAAGCCAAAGGGCGTTACGATCGATCGAGTCGAACGCTGCCTTGAGGCCAATGTAGGCAATCCAGAGTGAGTGGTTGTACTCGCGCCGTGTTTGAAGCAGAGTAAGTACTGTAAGGATTCTATCCACCATTGATCGGCCTGAGGTGTAGCTGCTTTGTTCGTTCCTACGTTTGGCCAAAAGCAAGTTCTTCATTCTCGACAATAGAATTCGCGCAAATAGTTTGCCGGGGCAGGACAGTAGCGTGATGCCTCTGTAGTTTTTACACTCTTCTCTGTTACCTTTCCCTTTGTAGAATAATGTCTTTTTTGCAATCTGATGAGATGACTCTGGAACTCCAGACATTCTGGAAGATATTGGTTAGCCAGATACTACAGTCGACGCTTCCAGCTACCATCATCTCAGGGATGATATTGCATATGCCAGATACTTTGCCGTTTTTCATTTTATTCAGAGAGTTGAAAACTTCCTACACCGTTGGTTTGCTACAATTGATCACTGGGTCTTCGATAGCCGATTGGGCACCGGTAGTCAGTTCCTCGGAGTCGGATGCGTTGGGTCGATTGAAAAGTCCAGCGTAATAGTTGCGCCAACATTCCATTTTTGATGATTTGTTGCTGATTAGATTGCCATTTGCGTCGACGATTGGGCTGCTGACGGATCGGGTAGCCTTAGCTAAGCGTCGAAAGTTAGCGAATGAGTGCCGCCTCTCCATCTCTCGCCATGTTGTCAGCCCATTGTTGTTGATCCAATTTTAGATTTGCCTTGTACTGTTTGCTCAATGTTTTATACTCATCATACTTGTTGAGAAGTCTTGCTTGTCTCTTTTTCTCAACCAATGTGAGGATGATGTCGCTGACCCGCGACTTCTTCATTTGTTTGCGCATACCTAATTGCTTGGCTGCCACATCCTTGAATGTTTCCTTGGATCTGTTCCAGTTCGAGGTCTCTTCGGCTGCTAATGCGGCGAAGCGGTTGCTCATTTCTACTGCGTATTGTAATTGCACTGCAGGATCTTCCAGCTTCTTGATGTTATAACGTAATGTGTGTGATTTTTTCTCGCCTGTGCGTTTTAACCTCAGCAACATTGTAGCGATTACAGGTCGGTGTCCTGCGTCGAATTCCAGACTACGATAGACGCGGCAGTTTTGCAATGCGGACCATTTAGTGTTGACCAAAATGTGGTCGATTTCCTTGACGGTCACCCCGTCGTTTGAGAACCATGTGTACCTGTGCATATCCTTATATGCTTGAACCATGAACCACCGATTCTTAGACTGGCTCCCAAACAGAAGTTCATTAGTCTCTCTGTGTTGTCGTTTGGAGTGCCACTTTCATACGGGTCGATAACGTGTTCCATATTGATTCTTGATGTTTCCGTGGCAGCGTTGAAGTCACCGAGACAGACGATAAAGTCGCTTTGATGTATCGTCTTCGTTGCTTGTTCAATTTGCTGATTGAAGGCATCGTTGTCAATGTCGCTCGCCTCGTTCGTGGGGACGCACGCTACTATTATTAAGAGATAGCCAAAGTTGTGTTTGAATTTGGCCGTCAACAGTCTTTCACTAATTGAGTGCCACGAGATCATAGCTGCGACGGCGGTTTGATTGAGTGCGAGAGCCACTCCTGCAGACTATAAAGCGCCAACAGTTGGACTAGACCATAAAATTGTATAAGAGTCACATGTTGTTTCGCCGATGCCGGGCTAGCGTGCTTCTTGGAGAGCCATCATGTTGATCTTTCCTTTCTTAAATTCTGAGACGAGAATGATAGCAACATCTGTTTCTAGGAGCGTTCTTATATTCCATGTACCAGTACGAAATAATTTCTTGGACGGAAATCGTTTTGCTTCAGGATTATAAGAGTTGTATGAATTTCGCCTGATGACGACCGGGTCGGCCTTACTTTCGACCCTGCCAGACTCGGGTTCCACACTTGATGGTCAGGATTCGTTTACGTCGTTGGTCATAACAGTATTTTGGTTTCGTCTCATAGTGAATTACGTAGGCAGAGAATTTCTCTGGTTCCTTGCCGGGAGAACGCAGGTAAGGTGGCTGACCGTTTACCAAGAAGATCTTCACGTCCGGTCTAGATCGGTCATCTGGTTACCGCCTGTATTGGCCATCGTTTTCAAGATTCTCGTTGCGCTCTAGGTGATTCTTCAGTCGGAGCTTTCATCACTGATGGCATAGCCTCAACAAGCAGTCCCGTACTCAGATGTTTGCCCCACACCACGACGAGGTATAGGACGAGTTTTGAGGGGAACGAAATGAGATATATAATGATAATCAGTCTGTTTTAATTCTATAAATGTTATTTAATTTAATGATGAAATAAAAATGTTTGATGAATATGAATTAATTGAAGAAAAAAAAGCACGTCTTTTTCTTTGAATGAATAAGAAACAATTTTCGTATAAAAATAAAATCTAATTAAAAAAAGTAAATATTTAAATTGAAAATGAACTCAATTATCTATGATATTTATTTCAATAAAAATAATCAATATAGATAAACTATTAATTTATTTTTGTTATTATTAATCTTATTGATAAATATTGATAAATTATTAGAATATTTATTTCAATAAGATATTTCTTGTTTATTTCTATTAGAGATAATATTATTCAAGGATTCACGACGATATATTTATCTATATAGAGAATGTCATTCTCTTATCTTTAATATTTCTATTTGTTTTTATTGAGTTGATGCACTCTATAGAATAAGATAAAATTTTTTTTTCTTTTTTCATATATTTATCATATTTGAATGCGTTTAAAGATAAGTGAGAGATGTTATTTAAAAATCCAAAATAATTGTCCTAAAGTGATATGTAAGATAAATTGATTGTAATTTTAAAAAAAAAAGAATAAAAATTTGTAGATGAACACGAACCGTATAGAATATATGAGATATAATAATGATTTAAATATGGATTTTAAATCACGTCGATCAGTAGTCTATGGTAGAAATTGTATTGTATCATCGTCTCAACCATTGGCAAGTCAATGTGGTTTGGAAATCTTACGTAAAGGTGGTAATGCAGCTGATGCAGCTGTTGCAACAGCAGCTGCTCTTAATGTAACTGAACCATGTTCATGTGGTATTGGTGGTGATTGTTTTGTTTTATATTATGATAATAAAAGAAAAAAAGTGTTAGGTTTAAATGGAAGTGGTCGAGCTCCAAAAAATTTAACATATGAAAAAATTCGAGAAATGGGAATAAAAGGAAAAAATATTCCATATGATAATATTAATTCAATTACTGTTCCAGGTGCTGTTGATGCTTTTATTGAAACAATTAAATTATTTGGTTCGGGAAATTTATCATTAAATGAAATTCTTAATCCTGCTATTCGTTTAGCTGAAGATGGATATCCTGTTTCAGAAATAACTGCTTTTAGTTGGGCATCATCAGAATATTTACTTAAACAAGCATCAAATAATGGAAATGATATGCTTAAAAATGGACGAGCACCTAAACCTGGTGAAATAATGAAAATGCCTAAACTTGCTAAAACATTAAGAGAAATAGGTGAAAAAGGTCGAGATGGATTTTATAAAGGTTATATTGCAGAATCTATTGTAGAATTAATTAAAAGTAAAGGTGGTTTAATGACAATTGAAGATTTATCTTCACATCGATCAACAATTGTTGAACCAATAAGTATATCATATTGTTTAAATGATAAACAATCAATTAGAATATGGGAATGTCCTCCAAATGGTCAAGGTATTGTTGCTCTTATGGCTATTGGAATATTAGAACAAATGCAAAAAGATAAAAAAATTCCTTCATTAGAAAATTTTCAACATAACTCAGCTGAATATCTTCATGCTCTTATTGAATCCCTTCGTTTAGCTTTTTCTGATGGATCTTATTATATTTCTGATCCAGATATTGAAGATATACCTTTAAATGAATTATTATCATCAAATTATTTATCTAAACGTGCTCAAGATTTTAATCCAAATTCTGTTAATAAATATATAAAACATGGAAAACCAGTTAATTCATCTGATACTGTTTATTTTGCTGTTACAGATAATCAAGGAAATGCTTGTTCATTTATTTTTTCAAATTATACTGGTTTTGGTACTGGAGCTATTCCAAATAATTGTGGATTTACATTACAAAATCGTGGATCAAATTTTATATTAGAAGAAAATCATCGAAATTGTATAAAAGGTGGTAAACGACCATATCATACAATTATTCCATCAATGATAACTTATCAGAATGGAGATTTATTAGGATGTTATGGTGTTATGGGAGGATTTATGCAACCACAAGGTCATTTACAAGTACTTATGAATATGTTACATTTTAATATGAATGTTCAAGCTGCACTTGATGCTCCAAGATTTTGTATTGGTCCCTATATTCCTAATGGTAGAGATGATTATGTTGAAAGTGAAGTATTTATAGAAGATGGAATTTCTGAACAAGTTTTAGAAAAACTTAAATCATTGGGCCATCATGTTAAATTGATAAAAGGAGCTGATCGATCAATATTTGGTCGTGGTCAAATCATTCTTAAATTATCTAACGATGATAATCAATTAGTTTGGGCAGCAGCTTCTGATCCAAGATCAGACGGATATCCTATTGGATATTAAATACTTTTTTTTGTCATTCAATTAATTCTTTGAAATATTTTTTCTAAATCATTTTAATTAAAACTTATTGATTAATAAAATGTTTAACATAATTAGATAAAAAAATCAAAATTGAATTTCTTTTATTGATATTATATGAAAACGTTCGAAAAGAAGAATTTTAATAAAAAAAAAACGAATAAATGATTTATCATTTAAATCAATTGAGAATATAATTGAACAAGATCAACTAGATTTATTTTAATATAATCAAATAACGAGTTTATCCAATTTATTTTAACTTAAATCTTTATCTTAGACATTGATTAGCTCATATTGATAGAAGACTTTTTTTTTATTTAAATATCTCGAATACCATTTAAGACAACACAAGTCTTTTTCGAATTTATTACAAATCATATTCAACTAATTGATCAAGTTTAAATATTATCTATTTTACTTTGGTCAACCACATTACTTATATAATAATGACAACAAATTAATAATCCAACAAATGTCATCAACATCAACGATATACAAAAAAGAAAAAAGAAAAAAGTTTACTGATTATAAAAAAATCTAATTAGATTGAGTCAACTTGTACTTCAGAATAGCGAACCTTTATTTTTTTTTCCTCGTTGTTGAAGAAACATGCTTCTCTTCATCAGTTTTTCTTAGAGATTTTCACTTTATGTAATTATTTAATAATTAACAACGAGCAAAATGATCTCAATGTTAACTTCAAAATGTTTTAATGTTCGAGTCTAAAAGTAGAAAAGGTTATTTTATTTCGAACTAATTTATCATCTATAAAAGAGAATATAAAAGAGTGAATAGACCATAATAGATCTTAAAATCTAAACCGATTGACTGACCAGTGAGCGACATCTCAGAAAAATAGATCAGACATTATTGAAAATGTTTTAGATTGATGATCAATTTTTGGTGAAGTTTTTGCCTGGTTTATTGTTCTTACGTTGTCTACTATAGTTTTCTTTCGTTTTTTCTTTGAAAATTTAACGAAATCTTGAAGATTTCGGGAACAAAAGCAGAAAAAATTTTCAGTTGCCAATGAAAACATGAAGTTCAATCTGAAAATTGTAGAAGTCAATTATTTGAAAGTTATGAATAATGATTAAAAAGAAGTTTTAGTTCTATTCTAAGAATATTTATCTTTGAGAGGAGTATGGAAATGTTTGTTTTGTGATGAAATATGGGTAAGGAGAGATAAAAAACGTTTATTTGGATAATCTTCAGTGATATAACTCTTTTTAAAATGACATCATTCTAGAGAAACATATGAAAATAGTCATTGAAATAAATTGTTTATATAAAATTTAAAAAAAATTTTATCATGTTAGAAGAATGTTAAATATCCTATTCGATGAAAATATATTGATAAACAAAATTTAAATAAAATAAATAATAGAATTTATTTCATAGACTATTTAATAATTAAAGACTGACTTTAGTTATAGATTGGTATAAAGATTAGAAAATTATCTTAAATAAAACAAGATTATTATTAAATTAAGTTAAATTATCTTGATTAATTAAATCTATATGAAAACATTTATATCGAATATATTCAACCATTTTTTTTAATCATTGTTAAAAATAATTTTTTATTATAAATAAGATAAATTGATAAATGATAAAGTAAACAATTGAAAATTATTCACGAATAAATAATTAAAATAAATAAAATTCTCTTTTAACAAATTATTCAATTTATGTTTTACTTTATGATAAAACAAATTATTTTTACAATCTTATTTTATTTTATATTGGCAAATTCATTTTTAGATATGTTTTATCTAATATATATATATATATAAGAATAAAAAACGTTTATTTCCACTTAAAAACTGATAAAAAATTGTTTTAATAAATCGAACTATTATTATTGAATATCTAATTTAAAAAAAAACTGATAGTCGATTAGAATAAAAAAAGGAAAATAATTAAAATCGAGTTTTATTTTCTTGATTTATGATTGAGAAAATCTAAGTCAGTCAATAATGAATGTTGATATTCTATCTCGTGAAAATCTCGAATCTTTTATATTTGTTTTTATCAATCCAGAGAAACTTCTAGTCAACACTTTTATTATTTTTATTTAATTTATTAGTCAATTATTATTATTTTCATGGTAAAATAAAGAGAAAAACCTTTTTTTTTGTTTCTCTTATCTGTCGAAATAAGGTTATCAAAAGTTAAAGATTGAATATTATCTTTATATATCTATAATTATTGAATAAATGATTATCTTATTTGAATTCGAATGATTTATATATGTGTTTATAATAATTGTTGAATAATTGATGATTTATTTCAATTAAATATGAATAAATAAAATATTTAATTAAAATAAATCTCAATATAATGATTATAAAATAAAAGATAAATCAATATGAATATAATTGACATTGATTTAGTTATTTTATTTGGAAAAAAAAATAATATTTTATTCATTTATCATATTAGATTTATTTTCTATCGTTTTATAATCAATTGAAAATCTTTCGAAGATATTATCATAAAAAACAAAAAAAAACCGAAAAATATTGATAAATAAAGATTTGAGAAAATAGATTATAGAAAAAAAAGCATTATATTATATTAAAATAAATCTTACTTCTCATCTATATCAATATCGAAAGATTTTTTAATTAAAAAAAAACCAAAAAAAAAGTTTTATTGATGTTGATTCTTTAACGTATAATATATTCCAATTAAAAAAAACAATTTATCTTTTATATTTATTGTTTGACTATTTATTTAAATGAAATATATCCTTATACGAATGTCTACACTCAATAAAAACCTCTTGACAAGTTATTGCTTTGAAATTGGAATGAGAATTTCTCTTAATAGGTAACTAATTATCATATATCGACTTTCCATTTGTTCACATTGATAAGTCAATTTATTGATAGTTTTATATATATTAGAATGAAATACTCGAATTCGAAAAACTACGTTGAAGTTCTTGTCGATTACCCCACTCTCAAAGTAACCTTTGATCTAGCTCAAGCTAACTAGATTGACAAGAGATCCATTTTATGATCAGTTTGCTTATTTTTAGCTGATAAAAAATCCTCTTTGATCGTTGATTTGAATTTTTTCTTAATAATTTTCAATTGTTAAAATTGATAAAAAATGTCAAATGGGGTGGAGTCAATCGTTTTTTATCTTGATTGATCAATTGTTGGTCTTATTATTTAATTTAAATTATCCTTTTCAATATAAAAATCATATGACTCATATTCGATTTGAAACAACAAGAAAAACTGGTTGATTTTGGTTAAAGATAAATATTCTTCAAAAAAATCCTATTGACAATATTATCGTAAAAAGGATTTATCGATTTTAGTCAGATATCGATGTTTTTTTTTCTTCGAAAATCGACATCCGGACTTCGTATCAATATCATATTTGAGTCAAAGTTGAATATAATATAGTGATTAGTTTTCTTCAAATAATTCAAGATCGTCAAAAAAGAAAAACAGATATGGAGAAAGTTTTTTTTTTGAAAACTTTAACAGATGAATTGATTAGTTGAACTAAATTAAAGAGGGTTGGCCAGACTGGGAGTTTTCGGGGTTGTGACAACCTTCCAATATTTACGAAAATTTCTGTTTTTTTGAAAACGCACCACTTTCTAGAAGAAGACTCAGTCAGTATAGACACCATTTATGTCGAAAAATTCTATTTACATTCCACCCCACAAAAAATTTCGATAGCCGACTTCGAATCTCCCAAAGTTTCAATAATCAGGCCAGCCCTGAAGTTAAACATCTATTGAAAGGATAAAAAGAAGTTTTTTCTAGTTTGAATATTGTCAAGGTAAAATTGATCTATTGAAAACTAAAAAGAAATAATTATCTTGTTTAATAATTAATTATTGAAATTTGTTTGTTAAAGTGGCATTGATTAAGTTGATGATTATAATATTTATTCTTGAAATGATATTAAAAGAGAATATTTTTGAAAAAGATATTTTTTTGTCTAAATAAATAATCAATTTAAATAGAAGAAAGAAAAAAACACGAAAGAATTTCGATGATAAATGGTTAAATGTTTGCTGTTCTTTTGCAAATAATGCGTCAAGTTTATTCGTTATCTTTCAATAAATAAATGTAAAGAGTTGAAAAAACTTCTGATAAAATACTCGTAAAAACATACTTTGTTGAAAAGAATATTAAATCGAAAAGTTCTTTTGTTCGAAATAAAAATCGACCGAAATAGAAAATCATCAAGAATAAATATGAATTCTAATCGGTAATTTATTATTTTATTATTATTAATAAGATAAATATTCTTTTACTTAAATATATATAGATTAGATGTTGCCAAACATAAAAGGAGAATATCTTCAAAAAATATTGAAAAAGAAGAAAAATTGTTAAATAATTCGAATGAAATTGAAGATATGAATATAAAACAAGTTGATCTTCAAAATCGAACTGCTGTTGTTGAACAATGGCTTGAAGGTCATCAACATGATAAACATGTACAATTTTCAAAAAATTTAACTTCTTTTAATCAAACAAATGAAACAAAACAAGAACGTTCATATTCTTTTAATAATCAATCTAATGAAAAATTATATTCTATTGATGAAAATAATCAACAATTAAATATTTCAACTGAAAAATCCATAATAAAATCAAATGATTTATCAAATATTGTTTATAATCGTCAATCGTTAATAACAGATTCTAGACTTTATCGTTCAACAAATAATGATGCGCTATCTCAGTCAACATTCCGATCACCATCACCATTAACACGTTCACGTCAATCTTCATTTTCATCAAATCCTCCTATTGAACGTGATCGGACTTCTTCAATTCTATCATCTATTGAATCAGTACCTTCTTTCAACTTATCATCCAATAATAAAGATCGATTATGTTCACTTGAAATAAATAGTTCATTATCAGAAATTGATCGAAAAAAACTCGATGATATTCGTCAATTAGTTCCTGATGAATTTGAAAATATAGTTCCAAAATTAATAACATTAGGTGTTATTATAATACCTAAAAAATTTTTTGAAATTAATTGTGAAGATATGTCTGGAAAGGATTTAATTGAACGTCATAGATTAATATCATTAATTAAAAAAGATGAAGATAATATAAAACATAAAGAATATCTTGAAAATTTCTATGGATCAATATCATATGATGATAAAATTTATCAAAAAACTAATATGTTAAGAGAAACTCTTTCGTATAATGGTAAATTAGCATTACTTTTAGCTTATAAAGATGAAATTGAACGTGAATTAAATAAAAAAATTCCACAATGGAAATTAATTCCAATTGATAATAATCGAACAAATTTATCTGAATATTCTTATTCAACAAATCGATCATCTATTATTTCAAATCCATATAAAACAAGAAAAAAATCAACTATAATTAGTTCATCTTCAATAAAAACAACTAAAGATTTATCATTAAATAATAATCAAAATTATTTATTAACTCTTTCATTACCTGATCATATTGATAATCAATGGTTAAATAAATCTGTAGCTCATTCAATTGAACAAGCTATGATTTTATTAGACAGACTAAGATTATTATCTTCAAATAATTTAACAAATATATCATACGATTATTCAGTTGTTCAACAAAATATTTATGATAATAATCAAATTCAATTTGTTAAACAATTTAAACGGTGGTTATTACTATGTTCGATTCTTTATATAGAACACAATTCACCTATTTAAACTTTTCTTTTTTTAAATCTCAAATTAATAATCAACTTTTTTTATAAAAAAAAAGAAAAGAATTTTTCGGTTTGTTTTTTTTTTAAAGTTCGAGATTGATTTATTTTAATGAAAATAAATATTAATATAAAACAATTCGAAAGGCATAAAATATAATATGTTAACAGTTATCATTAAATAAAATTCCTATGTCAATATCCTATTTATTGTTTCAATTTGAATATTATTCTATATAGAAAAGGATTATCTCAATAACTAAAGATAATATTCAATATTAGTAAACATATACAACAAGATAATCAATGAAATCATCTCATTTTTGGACGGTTTTTTTTATTATTTAACAAATCAATAAAGAGAGAGTTTAATCATAAATAGTTTTCTAAAATAGAATATCGAAGATTGTTTTTTTCGAATAACCTTTCAAACTGATCGATACCTTATTCAATTAAATTATTCTGCGAGTCAACATTTTTCGACTTTTTTTTTTCGTTTGAGTATTCATCTTTCATAGTTATCGATGAGGAAAATTTTCACATTTTTTTTTTCTTAAATATTTATTTATTTTTCTAGTCTAAACTTATTTTCTTCTTGATAAAAGTTAAAATAAATCTTAGTAAATATAGATGATAAATAAATAAATAATTATATAAAACAAGTCACAATAAAATAACTTAGAAAATAAAATAAATATTTTTTATTTAAATATAAGAACAAACTCTTTCAAACTTTTTTCATATTCAATAAGATTTATTTTAATAATTGATTATAATTAAATTAAGATTTCATTAAATGGTCGTAATTCTTGAAATCGATAAGAATAAAAATTATCTTTTTTCTCTCTTCATCATACGTTTGACTTTGTTCAATAAATATATTTATTTGTTCTCGATTATTGTATTCAAATAAATATGTACTCACACTCTTTATCATCATCAATTTGAATAAAAAAACTCTTGTTAGCGCAGCTCCTCACGATCTCAAATCTAGAATTGATATATATCCTTAAATCTTTATATTCTAACAGATCATATCTAAACTGGAAAATTTCGTGTGTACTCTAGCTCTTTTTATTGATAATCAATGACAAGAATGAGACTTTATTATTTATTTCAATAATTAAAACAGAAAACTTTTTTTTGTTTGAGAGTGCCCTATTTTTATTTAGCATTGTTCCTATTCGCTCATTATCTTTCATTTTTTTAAATTCGTTTTTCGTAATTCAACATTCTTATTATTATAATAATTGAATTAATCGGCAAATGAATCTGCTTTACATATCCATTATATCTACAGAAGATCTTACGCACTATTATATATATTAATCAGCTGACAAACAATCATCTTGATTACCTTTAAAAATTATAACTTGATCAATTTTTCAAAAAAAAAACTAGAAAGTCTGATGCCTCTTATTCGTAATTGCTAAGGTCTCTAATGGGAGTATCTATAATGGAGGGGTATCTGTAATGGGAGCCTACGTTACTATGTGTCTGTAAGGGGAGGGGAGAGCAGCAAAAACTTCAGCTTAAAACTTCCATTCACTAATTTTCTTCGAAAATCTATGTGAGTTCTACAAAGATTATCATAAAAGATTTTTTGAAAAAAAAATTTGTTTATTTGATAAAATAAATAACTCTGAAAAAAGTATTCTGTATGTGGATGTGGTTGAATCTTATCCTGATTAATATCAATATTCATAGGCAGAGCCATAGTCACTCTATTAATAAAGATTATCTCCTAGGTTGATGGATGTGCGTGTGCAGATGGCTGTTAGTATGAATCTGAGAGGCACCATCGCTATCGGAAAAGTTTCCTCTATTTGATGATTAATTTCTTGTATAATTGATTCTATAAATGTAGATATACGAAAAAAAAGGTTCTAAAATAGTAATTTAAATATAAAATAGTATAATAGATAAGTTGTGTTTTTTTGAGTGTCTACATATAAGTGAATAATGAGAGTTTGAATATCTGAAAGAATGTTTGATTTAGTAAAATCGAGTTTGAATGTTGAGAAGAATTTTGAAAAGTGAATTGAAAATAAAAAGTAGGATGAAATGTGTTGTGAAATGGATTCCATTTCGATTGTTTCCTATTCGTGATAAAATAAATTCTAAAGGACGGGAGACGCTTTCTCCACAAAATGGTCCTAAATAAAAATCACTTCTAAAAACCTTCTCATCTTCATTCTTGAAGTTCCTCTTGCGATTCTAAACTGCTTTTGACTCGTTCAGACCATGTACTCACAGTATTTTCAACCATATCTCATCAGCTGTCTACCACGTTTCACAGTAAAAATATCCTTACGTAATTCATTGATCTGATACGGAAAAGTAGAATTTCTCCACTGTTGCTTAACACCTAAATTTGGATTGATGTCTTCCGAAAAATGCCGATGGAAGAAGACATATGTTTTGTGACGTTATTTCTAGTTGGTTGTCAATATTAACTTTAAGAAAATTGGATGATTTTCTAAGATTATCTTTAAATTGATTTAATTGTTCTTGAAAAATTTTTTTACTTGGATTCATTTGGTCTCTCAATACGAAAAGCAACTTGGGTTTCATTGGAAATGATTGCATTTGTATTTTTGCGTATAACAACATACCGATTAAGCTTTCCAAGTTAGAACTGATCTCACCTTTATGATTTATAATAACAAGATGTGATGATAGAATAGCCATGGCAATTATTTGATTATCTAAGATGGTGCCACTTTCTTCCAAGGACATTAAACCTTCGGTGTCCAATATCACTATTGTTAAATTTTTGTAATATTCAATCCCTAAAGATACAGATACAAAAGTAAATTAATATTAACACTAGTTAAAACAGTCGAACTGTAAAATAAGAACATAAGTTTTCACCATTTGTTTCACTTATCAGACACGTAATCCTACATTAAATGATTTAATGGGGAGTTTTGCTGCGACCAATTCGTTAAGGTGCTTCACTAGGAATATGTGGAGTATTCTGAAAACAGATTCCGACACCGTCTCTGTCGGAGTCACTAAAAAAAACTTATTCGGACTCAGGATTACAGCACGCCCTCCAATAAAGCTTCACTTTTTCAGATAGCAACAACTTTATTCTTCGCATATTAACAAAACAAATAAAAGATACGAAACAGCTATTTTACAGAGTAATGAACCCTCACGAAAACATATTGAACAAGTCTTGATTACATTACAGACGAAGACACGAAGATTTGATAAAAGGGTGTAGGTGTGAGTGCTCGTGAAGAGCACCCACACCAACACATATCTACACTTACAGACACATTCACATCCTTGTTTTACCATTCTGGTGGATGCTGGGGAAAAAACAAAAAATTTAAAATTCATTTATCTTTCAGTCATTTGTTTTTTACTGATAGATTTACCTAATTATTTCTTCATGTTTAAGAACTAAATTAAATTAGATGTCACTCGTTTGTAATTTAAAAGATTCAGTGTATCGGAGACAAGATCAGAAAGCAAAAGTTTTCAGAACTGTAGTCGGCTTTCGAAGTGTAAAATTTGACTCAATAGATCTCTCTATTCCACTTGTCTCACTACTTTTAGACAAGAGTTGATAAATCCAGTAGATGGAACAAGAATTTCTTGTGCCACTTAACAGTTTTTCGTATGCATTCTACAAAACTGATCTGCATATCAGTTTTGTCAACTAAGCCTATGTTTTTGTTGTAATGAACAATGCACTCTGGTTTTTCAATTACTTTTTGAGTCTTCCAATCACTTTTTCCTGTTTGTATCATTCTCGGCTTGTGGATTGTAGACAACATAATGACTTCTCGTTTGTCTTGCCACTTTAGAACCATTAGATTGTTAGTGTTGTTATAGTCAAAATCACCTTTTGTCAATTTATCGAACTTAATTGAACCAAGGCGGTTTTTACGTACAGTTCCACATGCATCAGTCTTGCGTTCATGTAATTTTTCAAATAGACGAAGACTGGTATACCAGTTATCGACAAAAAGTGAATGTCCTTTGTTCAAATACGGTTTCATCAAAGTCATAACTATGGATCCTGATTTTCCCAAATTTTCATCCAGATCAAGGTCCGTAGAGGAACCAGTATATAAAATGAGATCCAACACCACTCCTGTTTGGCAATCGCAGATGACGAATATTTTTATGCCAAATCGATGACGTTTAGTTGGTATATACTGTTTGAACGCTAGACGACCCTTCCAAAGAATAAGTGATTCGTCTATACATAAATTTTTGTATGGGATAACAAGTGATCTGAATTTTTTCCGTAGATCATTTATCACTGGTTGGATTTTATATAATCTGTCGTCGTCTACTTGATTTGGCTTATGGTTGAAATGTAAGTACTTCAAGAGCATAAGAAACCTGTCTCTAGAAAATAGTTGTCCGAACATCGGTGTGATAATCATCGGATCTGTTGACCAGTAGTCGAGGATCTTATTCTTTCTGATTACAGACACGAGCATAACTGTAGCTAGAAAAGTGTACATTTCAGAGCGATTTGTCTGTGTCCACTTTGCTTGATCCGAAGCTGTTTTATGTGTCGTATTGTTAGTAAAAATATCCTGATACTTGTTCGTTTCTTGGACAATCAAATCAATCATTTTTTCGTCAAACAATAATTCGAAAAAATCAAGAGGTGTATCACTTTTCATAGCATGTATGTCCAATGAAACACCAGAATTTTGTTCGTCGAAATGGAAGAGATGCGGCTCGAAAGCGGTTTTGCTCCAGTTTCGATCAATAGATTGTTTCTTCGGTGGTGCTGCTTCATCATCCGATTCATCACTATTTATATCTGATGAATTAACTTCATCAATTTCCATATCAGAATCAACTTCAGATTCGCTATCCATTTGAATTTCATGTGGATCATTAGTTGTACACGTTGCCATATTCAGCAAAGAGTTTTACGTAATAGGTATGAATAATAAAATGTTTATGTGGAGACACGTGTAGAATAATAAGAAATTACTTCGTTTGCGTGAGAATATATATCCAAAGATATAAGTTGTTTCTGGCATAGAGTCGAAGTTTCATTTGTACGAGAGAACGCGTTGAAAGAGAAAAGAAAAATAATATACCAGAATTTACTAGAGCGAGGTAGAATGCAAGAAATAAGCATGTCAGAACGCAAGAGACAGCAGATACACACATAGCAGTGCGGGATGATGACGCCGTAATCTTGTCAAGAAAAGAGAAAAAGAGAGGAGTCCTTTCGATAGAATCTAAACAATATTATAATGATGGTAATATCTGCAAAAATTCAAAACGTATATATACGTGATCCGTTACCAAAGGATTAATATAGCTGACTGAATACCTATATTAAATAATATTATAATACGAAAATGAATTTATTAGAGAGATAAGCAAAATCCGTCGTTTTTCTCGTTCGAATATAAAGTCACTGAAAGAAAAACAAATCATTTTCAGATTATTTATCTTTCGACAGCATCAGATTGAATTGAAATAATAATATAAAACATTCCATTCTTAGACTAAAAATCTTATACTTTTATTTTTCTCATCTTAAAACATTGTCATTGAGCACTCTGACAAATGTCCACTATTTTCTTCTTTGCCTTGTGTGTATGCGTATGCATCCTTCTCTTCTATCTTTTTCCGATGGATTATCTATATCCATCGTCCTATATATAGATCTAGGTCATTCTTTTTTCTCTCTATCACTTGACAAAAATGATTTTCAATGTAAATGTAGGACATCTATCAACTGGTATATTTCAAAAGTCGTTGTCAGTGAATAATGTCAATCGATGAACATAAAATAGGTATTTACTCAAAGATATTCATCGTATATTTGTTACTATAAAGTAATATTATTATTTGATTATTTAAATGATGAAATCTTGTGAACAAATAATTGAAATGTTATTTTAAATCTATATTAAGATTTCCAGTTTGATGCTCTTATGTCAATAGTATATGAATAACCAATGGATCTATACATTTATACTAATTATTCATTTTCATGTTTTATTTATATTGAAATAAGTTGATCTTTATTCATGTTGTATAGATTAATGTTTACATATTTATTTACAATGGAATAACATCAACTAGACAAAAGTTATGCTCCACCTTAATATAATTATTGAAGATAATTAAGATTGAATATATATTGGTTGAAAGATTCGAATATTAATAATCGTATAGATATTCAAGGTGTTTTGAATGAAGTACGTCGAAAATTTCTATTTTAACATCAATATGATCAGATTTGAAAATAATTATCAAAGCCTTTTTATACGTATCATCGTTAAAGATATTCTATCATATAATTAATTTCCTCCATCGATTTCATGCTTGAACACTTAGCGTATTTCAATCTTTGCTTAAAGTCTAAATTTGCTCATTTATTTGGGTAGGTTTGTTGAAAATAGGAGGCGAATATATAAAAAGATAGTCGGCCAATACAAATTGATTTGTTTCGTTGAGTCTCTTTTTCTTTTGTCATATTTTCGCTTGATATGATTCACATAAGGACGTGACAGTTAGATATATACCTCTTTCTCTTCTTTCTTAACTTGCCTATATATGTATGTTTTATTTTAGTCGTTTGCACACAATCCGTATCGTGAATAATAGTTATGGCTGGTGCTATGGCTGGTGCAATCGATGAACAACCACATATATACATCAAATTATCGAACAAAGAAAAAAAACAAAATGTTACTATGAATTATCCATTATTCTTGGAATTCGAACAATATACACCAGGAAAAGGTACAAGAGAAAAAACTGTTCATGATACGATATATCATAACCTTGATTCACCACGTGAAGACAACAAAGTTCAATTAACGTTAAAAACTTTACCTGTAAATAAAACGGTTATCATTTGGGTCTGACCATCACCGACGCAAATTATGTCAAATTTATTGCCAAAACACCGGTGGTATTATCAGATGCTGGTATGATTGATACAGGTTTACATCTAACATCCAGAACATTTTATGTGCAAAGAAAAAATCCTACAAGTGCTGCTGAAGATGAAGTATATTCTTCTTACGACGATCAAACTTATTTAGGAAACTGTTCTTAAAAAGTTTTTTATTATTTGAAAGTTGTGATATTGTCATTTCTCTTCATTTATAATTCTTGTTTTTTTTTACTAAACTCATCTGTTGAATAAAATAAATTTGAAAAACATTCTAACTTCTTGTGTTATAATAATATGTGTTATTAGCAGTTGTTTATTTGTTTAGAAAGCTAACGATAGTGAGTTGAGATTAATCATATAGTCTATGATTAAATAAAATCGAAATGTCTACGACGATTTTAAAAGGTTCTGAAAATAATTCTCGTCTCAAATAAAAACAATTTCGATGGAATTAAAAGTAAAGATGATTTCTATATTGTCGATTGAAGAAGCACAAAAAAGTCACATCCGTTGATGATAATGACTCTTTTTCTTTTCAAAACTTTTCAATAGTATTACTATTAGATTTTTTAATTTCAATTGCTTCCACCTATATCTTCCATAGCTCCTAAATCTCTCATACCGGTGTTTAATTACTTTCCCAGGAAGTTCGTAAAATCCACCATATGAAATAATATCAGTTCAAGTACATATTAATTAGATTTGTTTTTTACTTAAAATGTCCTAATTTGTTTATTAAATCTATTTTTCATTTTTTTTGCTTTTTACAGAAAAGAAAAAAGAAGAGCCTTTCAAATTCTATACATTTACTTTTTTTTTTTATTTTCGATTTTATAAAAATTAATTAATAATAATCTTTAGTTTTCGATTTGATTTATTTAAAATATGTTTATCTGATTCATATTATTAAGAGAACGTCCGCGATAGGATCACCCCACTCTCCATATAGGCCGTCGGGAAAAATTTTTTTTCTCGATTTAGTAATCTCAAATGAAAGGTCTAGTTAAACCATAGCCAAATCCAAAATATTAGAGGATTTGGTTTTACCTATGAAAAATGCGAGCTAAAACAAGTTTCAAAGGTCGATTTTGACCCTGAAAAGTCGCTAAAAAGGGTATGCTCAGTATTTTGACATTTTCTCATTAACAGTTTGACCGTTTGAAGTCTGACACGTCTCATTAGATAGAGAACAGTATAGGCTACAAATTTATCCTATTCAAATGAGCGATATATAGTGTAAACGAAACGCTAAAGATTAAAAACCGTCCAAATCCCAAGAAATCTTACTTTCCGGGATTGCAGTATTTTGGGCTTTTCCCGAGCTATGTACGAGATACTGGAATGA